TGGAGCCACTGAAGCCTCGGTGCTCCCTGCCCTAGGCTGGGATCTGGTGCGTTTGGACCCCATCATCGAAGCCATGCCCATGGCCTACATTGGCAGTGGCTGGCATGGAGGAGACTGGCTGGTGCTGGTGCCAGGAGTGCTGGCATGGGAAAGTGGATCCCCCTCTTCCACATCCCCTCACCTCTGCACTTTGGCCTCCCTGACTTTGCTCACCAGCACCTGCATCCAGTGATCAAGGGTTTTTGGGCTGCCAGTGCACATGCTCCCTTTCACCCTTGGGTCGCACATGCCTGCCATCATGTGGACTGTACTGAACTGCAAGGGATATAGCCATCTCCTGATGCCCTCCTTCAGTCACCTCACCAGGGCCTGTACATCTGGTGACAGTGGCCTGCCCCAGCCAGGAACATTGATCCCTTCTCCATTTGGTTCTCCAGTTCCCTCACTAGGGGGATCACCTGGCTGAGGAGGGCATCGCTAGTGCTAAGGGTCTTGGTGGCCTCGAGGAAGGGCTTGAGGACCACCAACATCTGGGAGATGGTACCCCAGTCAGCTCTGTTCAGGGGGGCGCTGATCCCTATCTCACCAAGCAAGGCCATATCATGGATGGCCTTCTGTTGCCCCACCAGCATCTGGAGCATCAGGTATGTGGAGTTCCACCGAGTCTCCACATCCTACGTGATTCTGTGCTGCAGGATGCTGAACTCTGCCTGTTTCTCCCACAGCATCTTGACCCACTTGATGCTGCGATGGAAGTAGCCCGCCACCTTCCTGCATTTTGCAATCAGCTGGCTTGTAGCAGTACTGGTGGCAGCGCCATTACCAGTAGTCCTGTCCCCCTCCAAGGCATCCCTCACTATTAGGTGCAGCCTGTGTACCACACAGTTGATACCAACAAAGTTGGCATCATGGACAGCCTTCACCATATTGGCCCCATTGTCGAGTGGGACTCATCCAGCACTTTGGCTTGCAGTAGAGCCCACTGACGGCCTGACTGATCGCACCAGTGCCCCGTCTGGGAGAGGTAGGCGTGATTGCCACCCTGCTGCTCCAGATGTCGGAGGTGAAGTGCAAGGCTACCAGCAGCCCTGCCTTGCGCAGATCTTGCCTGAATGCCTCATACAGAGAGGGCACCACCGCCCTGCTAAAGGTGGTGCATGTGGGCACTTTGTAAAATGGGGCCAGAAATGCTACGAATTGCCTGAATCCTGGTTGCTCAACTAGGGAGAAGGGCTGGCTATCCAGAGCAAGCATCTCCCCAATGCTCTGGGTGATCTCAGGCACCTTGGGAACGCACCCCACTTTCTGTCCACCTTTCCCCCACTGGTCCAGGGTGGCCTGCCTCTGGCTTGAAGGCAAGGGGGCTTTGGAATGAGTGCAGGACTTCCCTTTTGGCACTTGCACCGGTGCCAGGCTGAGCAGCAGAAAGAAAGGCAAGGGGATGGTGCCTCCTCAGATGCAACAGCACAGCCATGGTGGAGAAGTGTCTCACATCCTTGTCCCAGCTCCTGTCCCTTCAGCAGTGCTGGCAGATGGCAGCAGCCTCCTCTGAGATGCTGCTTTCCAGAGGAGACTTGGGCCTAGGGGAAGTGTGAGGGGTGTGGAACACTAACTCTGCTTCCCACTCAGTCCCCAGAGTTGCTTGAGCCAGCGCACACAGCATCCCTGGTTCCAGCTCCAGCTCCTCCTTTGGCAGTGGGAGGCTCACACTGACTGCTGAAATTGGAGTGGAAGAGGCAGTGATTCCACAGCTGTTGCCCACTTCTGGACTAAGTGGAGGTGGTGGCAGTACAGGGACATTAGGTGTAGACACTGCTCCCACCTCCTGGCTTCCAGTAGCAGCACTGATGCCAGGGCTGTTCAGGAATAGAATGCATCTGTGTTTGGGAAGGGGGGAAGCTCACAGCTCTAGCTCTCTCCCTACCCCCTCTCCCTCCTCTGCCAGAAGACCGGGCACCTGCCTTTCCAGGATGCTTCATCCTGATCTTTCCTGTGCTGCAAGAAGGTCTCTCTGTGTGTGTGAATCCTTTTGTATATCTGTCGGTCTTGTTCTCCTGTGAATATCTATGTCTATCTTGTGGTGTGAATGAAATTGTGTGCGTGTCTTCTTTTGGCTCTCACTATATTGAGTATCTTGTGGTGTGAATGTAATTATTTGCGTGTCTTCCTGTGTCTCTATATTATCTGTGTCTTGCTCTTCTGTAAATATCTGCCTGTCTTCTTCCACTGTGAAGTTTTTCCCCTATATTCTGGGTCTCTGTGTATGCACACGCATGCATGGAAGCAATCTGTGCCTTCCTGCACAGTGATAGATAACAATGGCTGGGAAAACACAACTGTCTTTTTGCAAAGTTTTCCAAACAAGTTCCCAAAAAATAATTCAAAGAAATAAATTGAGTTGTAATACTACTAATAATTTAACTGAATAGCCAAGCTAAACCCTAACCACTCCTTTATAACATGAAAAAGCAGTAGGCAGGTCTCAGTCACAGTGTTCCTCTCTCTCACAGCTGCTGACAGGGAACAAGCTGCAAAAGGCAGCTTTCAGTTTCCAGAAGGGCTGGAAACAGGGGGTTTTTATACTTTTTTTAGTCGCATCCCACAGACGCTGCCATTGGAGAGGTAGCCAGGGAGAAATCCTTCTCACTGGCTATCTACAGACAGACAGTCTTCCCCCCCCCACCTCTTCTAATTTGCCTCAAAATGGCTGAAGTGGCTTAAAGCACTTTGGATGCCCCTGACCTGCTCCGGACACCATTACTGGGATCCTGCTTTGACCCAGAAGGGACTCTTCAGATGCTGAAGCGGGATCTAAAGACTCCCACAGCCCTAGCAGATATTATCATCTTGAGGTTGAAAGTAATCTATAGCTTTGTAGCACTGTCCACATCTGACAGCTGAGAAATACAATCAAGTTTGTCTTATTTTAGCAGACCTCACCATCATCTTAGAAGAAAACTGAAGGTTAAAAATAACCCCTCTTTTCTCAGAAGTCAAGGTAACTGTCATTGTTTTCAGTGGGACTTCAATTCATCACAGAATCAATAGCATCAATATCCACATGAATACTGGCATTAGTATTGCTGTATTACTGCTGGAATTTGAATGACCATCTTATTAAATCCAGCTATTGAATCCAAAAACCAACAGCAGTTAGAGTTGTTTTAAACCAGTGTTGGAAAATACTATAACACAGGGGTCAGCAACTCCTGGTATGCATGTCAGAGCATGATGTGTGAAGGCATTTTGTTTGGCATATGCACCTTGGAGTAGATGGCAGGGAAGAGGCTAGGGCTGTGCTGCTACAGCAAGGATTGTGCACCTCCAGGCAGACAACAGGGGAGCTGTGAAGGGCCCATGCACCCATGAGTGGCAATGAGCCAGGTTGGGGCTCCACAGACATGGTATAGGTGCTTGTGAACAGCTCAGGTTCCATGGTGGGCAACAGGGGAGTGCCCAGAGCCCAGGCTGGCTTTGGCAGGCAGCTGGGATGCTACAAGCAGCTGCACCAAGATTCACAGAGCCCCAGCCTGGCTCCTTACCGGTGATGGATGCACAAGTGCATCAGGGTAGATGGTAGGAGAGCCATGAAAGGCCCGATCCTTGTTGTGGCACTGCAGCCCAGCCCCTTCCTCACCGTCTGCCCCAAGGTGCCTATGCACCCGCCACCAGGAACAGCTCTGCGGACCCCGGTGTAGCCACATGCAGCCTCCTGGCTGCCTGCCACAACCAGCCCAGGCTCTGGGTAGTCCCCTGCCTTCTGCCACAAAGCCTGGCCTTCTCACAGCAGGCAATGGGGAGGCTGCAAGCAATTGCACCAGGGCTGCAGAGCACCCAGCCCAGCTCACTGCTGGTGGCAGGTGCACATGCACCTCAGGGCAGACAGCAAGGAAGGGGCCAGGACTACACTTCCACAACAAGGATTGGGACCCTTGCAACTCCCCTACCATCTGTTCCTGGCACGCCAACATCTTACAAGTCAAGGTTGAGGTTTTTTGGCACTCCACCCAGAAGCCTTGCCGACCCTTGCTACTAACAAAAATGCCAACAATATATTAGATAGCAATGTTGCAATATTTATTAATGAGCATAAAGCAACTTCAGTTGATCTAGTTGCTTATACTGGACTAAGGTAAATTCTAGCTATCCTATGCTGGCTGGCTCCAGCAGATGAGCTCATACTAGCAAATAATCCATTTTCCCTTCCTCTTTTTACCCCACTTAATCTCTCATTACAGCATCTTCTTCTGAATTCTAGAAACTGATCAAATCTAGCTCAAAGTTTTCACATGTACCTACCTTGCTTCTCCCCAAACAATGAAGCTTCCTTTGCCCATTCTTAGCAAGTTTTACTCTAGACCACCCAGAGCCAGTATTTGGCATACTAGCCTGTCTATTTTACCCACCCCGTGGCTCACCATGCTCCATCCTGCCAACATTAGGCCTTTTTACTGTTTGTCTGCCTCTGCTTAAACCTTGGTTTCCTGAAAGATTGTTTTGCTTGTACCCAATATGATAAAAATCCCATAGCCTACTGCAGAATAACTGTACCTTTCATAATTCATTCAAAGTACCTGAAAACCTCAGTCATAGACTAGGATACCATTGTATTAAGAGCAAAGCCAAAAGATAGTTCCAGCCCCGAAGAGCTTCCCAATTTAAATGTGAAAGAAGAAACAACCAATGGATATAGACAGAGAGAGGAGTACAGAGAAACTAGAGCATAGTGGTTTGCATGATCAACTGCAGTCCTAGCACACCAGCACCTTAACTGTTACCAAGCTTTGTGTAAGCCTCATGGCAGAGGAGAGTTTGAAGGAAGTATTTGGAGAAGCATAGTGAGGCAGTATTGTTGATGTTTTCAGGAAGCTCCTTTGAAGTGGATGAGAAAGCATGAAGACTTTACCTGAAAATTAAATGGTCCTTTTGCCAGTGAGTAATGCAATAGTAAGTAGGATCCCACTCTCTTTCTGGGTCTTGGTTGAAAATTCCCCTGAGGTTTCTTCTCCTTCTAAGAATCCAGATATCGAAGGAAGGTAAGCTCAGCTTGGGACCCTGCTGACTGAACAAAGAAAACAAAGGTCTAGCCATGCCAGTTAGGCCTATACATAAAATCAGATCAATAACCAATGTCACTGTAGCAGGGTGGGGCCCCTAAGAGTGGCCATGTTATTCCTAGGCTCCTTAACTGTGCCAGTCTTGCCCTATAGGCACCCTCTATTTCACCCATCATGTCTTGTTGGCATGATTAATATAGGGAGGCTGCTCTCAATTTTTAGGTTTGGACACAGTCTGGCTAGATTCTATTAAACCCTGTTATTCATAGACCCCCTGGCATCCCACTTCACGGTGGACAGTTCCCGAGTCTCTCAGCCTTAATGGCTATGTGTGGCTCCAACCACCCCTTTACCAAGCCCCAAGCCTCACAGATGGCACTGATGTTGTCCTGTCTGGGCCTTGCTCTGATTTGGCCCCCCTTGTCCTCTCTGCAGCCCTGTCTCAGCACCTCACTAGCACCTGGGGTCCCCACTCTAGTGGACCCCCAATGAGGCCTCCTCCTTCCCCAGATAGCCTCACCCAAACCACCAATTTTAATCAGACAGAACAAACAACAGCCAGCCACCATGAGCCCCTGGGCTGTAACAACACAAAACTCAAGTCATGCTCTGCCCCTTTAAAAGAGTAAAACTCCCTCTCTGAAGTTTGGTGCCTAGTAGGCAAGGATACCTTATGGGCTCCTGGTGTCCCCTTTGTTCTAAGGGTAGCATATCCACCAACTATAACATCTCTGACACCCACCCTCCCTAGAGGCTCCTTCCCCTTCAACTGCTAGTAGGAAACTAACTGCCTAGCCCCAGCGCTAGGGTTTATATGGGCCTAGGGCCCTGCCTCCTCCGGCCAGCTGACCAGGTGCAAGTGCAGCCAATTCCCTCATTAACTGGTTGTCATGTCAACCTGCACCTGGGTTCTTATCTGGCTGTATGTGCTCTCTACCCGGGCAATCTCTGCTCTAAGAGGAGTAGGTACCTTGGTGCTCTGTGACAGTCACTATGGTGGCAGTGTAGACAGTTATATCAGCAAAATAATCCACATGCCTGTATGGTTTATTCTCTTCAGTGAGCTGGTTTAAGCCATGCTATCAAAAGAATTCTTGTGTCTGCATCTCCATTAGCAGTCTTTGTTGCCATGGGTTTCTCTTCTAAGTGCAGATAAATGTTATGGTTCTGAATCATAGTGGTTCCCAGGTCTTCTCACTTTAGGTTTCCTTTACCTCTCGCTTTTCAGGATGATTTGTGGGGAGGATAACCAGGCCCCTGCTTCTTCACTGCTTCTTTATAACAGAAAAAGAGATCCTGAGAAGGTTTATTTATTTATCTCTCTGGTTTTTTTTAGGATTTGCATATTGTTTCTTTTAGAAAGGGTCTGTGGGCTACTAGCAAGCTGGTAGAATTTTTAATATCATAGCTGCCAAGACAGTAAAACAGTTTGAGATCAGATTATTTTTCAGAGTGTTTTCTCAGTTATTTATTTAGTTTTGCTCTCTGTTCACATTTAACAAACAGCTGAGAGGCAAAATCTCCATGGTAAACATGCTTGCATCCTTTGTCAGGCTGTTTGCAGAATTGGAGTCAGTAGCAGACTCAAATCCTAGGTGCATGTTCTCAACTATACAGGAGGATAGTGACAGCTGAAATTATGTCTGTATGATAAAGGTGCTTGCTGAAAGCTCTGTGAAAATTAGACCAAGTGTTTTTCTGTCATTTGTTCAGTTATTAAGCTATATGTTGTTGTTAAGAGCCTAATTAAAGTCAAAGAGTAACGAGGCCTAGTAAATTTAGCAAGGCCTTGTAGAAGTAGTGGTAGGCCCTCTGGCATAGTAAAAATTAACCTTATAAGAAGAATGCAAGGCTTGTACTGCTATTAGTCAGTCCTAAGGAAAGTTTGCAATGGGAGAATCTGGATGGCTGTAAATTATCAGCATAGCTCAGAAGTTATAAATTGGCTAGCACATCCGGAAATCATTTAGAAGGAAGATGCAGCTCTGTAAAAGAAGCTACTGGTTTAAGATTAGCTGCTGACCTGGATTCAGTGGGACTGTGGATCTCAAGGAGCCCAAAAACTGAATACCAGGGTCCTTCCCGGTACTCCTCGGACAGCGCTAATTGGGGACTCCTGACTTCGCTGAGCTTTGTGGCAAGAGAAACTTGTCATACATCAGGCATCAGAGGGGACTGCTGATAAGTTGCCAACACGAATTATTATTGTCTGTCATCCTAGCCTTATTACTACGCGTAGTCGTGTTTTTGTTAAGTTAATAAACCTTTCTTACCTTTCTACCCACAACCACACTCTCAATCCCAAACCCTCCACAGGTGGCTGAGACAGAGGATGAAAACCAACACTGGTTAATATGGGTTACATTACCATGAGTAGGAGTTTTGATACTTTTTGGGTCACTGGAAGCACTTTGTACTAGGCAGTAAGCAACCACCAGTGCACTTCAGGGAGGTAGATAAATAGCAGCTTCATTCTGCAGATCTCAGTTAACTAAGGCACAGAGATGCTGCATGATGCATCTAAGCCAGACTGTCAGTGCTGATTAGGCCCCAGAAGTCCTGACTCTTGATCCATGCTCTAACCCCTGGGTAACATATTGCTGTCTAATAAGTTCTGTTTGGCTATGGTTGCTATTGTAGAAACGAAAAACAAACATCATGTGTGACTTTGATTTAGGGTCAAGGCAGCTCTTGAGACCCTGTAGAACAGTATCTATAGGAGTGACTTGAGTCCCAGATCATTGATTTTAAAGGGGTGATATTTCTGGTCCCCAGCCTGGTTGTAATCAGGCTTGATGGTTCCCTACTGGTTGCTCCTAGCTCAACAGCTTCTGCTGGTTTGCTAGCACTCAGTGCTCATCACCAATCTTGAAGGTCTCTAGCTGTTTGCCCCTGGTTTCACTGACTCTGGTTGACACAGGCTGTGACATTCCCTGTAGATTATAAACAATCACAGATGGATTGGATATGTAATACCCACTTAGGTTGTGTATGGCAAAATGATTTTGGTTGTGTATTGTGGGGTAGGGGGGTTGTGTGCTTTTTTATGTGGGCAAGATGACTCCTGTTGTTCTGGCCATGTGCTCTGCACATGGAAAGCTGGAGCCCTGTACCTAGGCAAAATATGTAAAATCCTCTGGCCTGATTGGCCAGGGGAAGCAAAGACTTTTCAGGTAGATTGGTCAAGAGAAAGACTGGAGTGTGGCACTCCCTGACTGGACAAGGCCAGGGTGATGTCATGCAGAGGGATATAAGGTAAGTTAGGCTGGTTTGGGGAAGGGGAGAAGCTGGTAGGGGTTGCTGAAAGGTAAAGTCTCCTCCAAGAGAGAAGGAATTTGCAGATAGTGAAAGGGAAAACTTAGGTAGAGGAAAGAGAGAGGAAAAATTGTCCCAGTGTCTGGAAACTCCTCCATCCTCCTTTTCTCCCCCCTTTTCTGAGGTTTTAAGGGATTAATACTGGGGAAGAGGGTACTGATTCCTTGGGTTGGGTGGCCAGGAATTAGGCCTGGCAGTTTTAAACAGGGTTGAAACCTGGGAGTTTCTAATCCTGCCAGCTCTGGGCTGGGGTCATAGGCAGAGGGGAATAAAATGTGTGTAAGGGGGGGCAGGGCTGAGCATGTGTGTGCATGCATGTGTGCCCCCTCAGGCGGGAAAGTCTGTGGGGGAAGGGGCGGTGGGAGGGGAAAGGGCTGAGTGGGGGAGGGAGATAGTGGGGCTGGGGCAGGGGCTGGTCAGGGATCAGGAGGGAGCATAGCGGAGCCGGGCCCAGGATCGTGATGGGGGCTGGGGCCAAGGCCCACTGCACCCATGCAGCTGCCCCTTGCCCCACACCTGGGGTTGTTGCCTGGTGCTGGCACCCCACCCCGCCAATGAATCCACCACCTCCCAGGCCCACACTGGCCCCAGCTGCCTCCCCGCACTGACCCCACACTCCTCAGAGGGGCCTGGATCCAGGGGCCAGAGTGGGGCCAGACTCAGCTGTGCCACTGGGCTGGAGGGGATGAAGTTCCCAGGACCCCTGCATCTACCCCAGAAGGCGCAGGGAGGGGGTGGTGGCTCACGCTGCTGCATGCATCCCAGGAGTGCATGGGGGGCATGTGTCTCCGGATCTGCACAGGGGAGGGCAGGGCAGGCTGCTCCTGCAGGCTGGGGCTGGTGCCAGGCTGTGTTTGGGGTGGGTGGTGGCAGCACTGAGTGGGGTCAGGCAGGCTACGGCAAATTTTGGGGTGGCTGTAGCTCCCCCCCATTGCCTCCTCCCACCGCTGCCACCTCCTGCTCCAGCCCGCAGTGGCAGCCTGTCCTGCCACAGCAGATCCAGGGGCACACCCCCACCATGCCTCCCAGGGGGCATGTAGCA